GGATCTCTCCGTCTGGGAGAACAGCACTCTCTGGAGCACAGCAAGCAAAGCGCAGGAGAAAGCCGAGAAGCCCTGAAATCCCTAGCAAAAACAGCGTTATCCAGTTGCTCAAGTGACAACTGAAAAACCCCCACCTCCTGCTCCCCCAAAGGTCTGGATTACTTGCTCTATTCGCATCCTATCTTTGTTCAGCCTATATAAACAAAATGTACAGGAGTTTTAGCTAAATAACCACTTGCAGTTGATGCTGAGCTGAAATTGGACTGTAAAGTCCTGCTTTCTGCAGAAAAAGCAGCCAGTGGGATTGTTGTGAAACAAAATTGCTCCTCCCTGGAGGCACACGAGTGCTGCAGCACTTGCTCTAGATCATCTGAGGTTTACAGCAGCTGAGACCCCGTGCCCATGTCACCAGTGTCTACTTCAGATCTCAAGTGCCCAGTTTTGGTCATGACAGCAAAGGGATCCAATTTGCCCCAGCCAACTCATGCAGAAAGAGCATCTTGTGCAAGAAAACGCTTTGGATGCAACGCAGCTCCAAGGAGTCACCAGGCTCGAGGGGAAGGTTAGCTTAGAAATTGGAGGAACAGGTCAGGATGCTGCCAACAGGCTCAAGGCTCTCCCACCACCCATATCCTCCCACAAAGACTGCCGCCGCTCCTCCTCCCGCACACTGAAGGTGGGAGAGAAGCCACGGACAGATGTCTTCCTGCTGGAGGCCCTCTACTCCAACATCAGCATGCAGCAGGGCAAACGACTTCTAAAAGCAAAGGCCTGAAGCTTTTCGCACCATTTCACAGCCAGCCCACGTGAACTGCTCTACTGCAGACCAGGGGAGGAAAGCATCCATGATGAGCAGGCTAGAGTTTATCTCGCTTTCTTTGTTCAGGGCAAGCGTGTGGCTCCAGGTCAGAGTTTTCTTGCAGGGCCTCTTCCTGCTGGGTCTTGCACCGTGGTCCAAACCCTCCCAGACCAAACTCAGCCCCAGGGTCGGCAAGCACCGCACCCCCTGAACTCTGCGGGAGTAGTGCCTGCTTGCTTCAAAGGCAACTTTTACCCTGTGTTTATACCAGCCTACAAGGCATGAAAAGGCCTAGGAGGTCACACATCCACCACTGTAATTTCGGGTGAGATCAAACAGCAAAGCAACAGCTGGGCTGAGTGAGCAAGTCCATGTTTAATTACAAACGGTTTTGGTAATCAGCACAGGCAAGAACAAAGCCAGGGAGAAACCTCCCTTTTTCTTCCTGGCTCCTGTTCAGGCCATGTAGAAACAGCTGCCTAGAGGAGAATCTCAAATAAGATCCACCAGCTACGTTTTTTTTTGGTCATTTTCAGGACTGCTACAGCAGCACTGCTCCCTACGCAGCACCACTCTGCTTTGGCAAGCGGCAAGGGCCGACGGGCAGATTGCAGCCGCTCACATCGAAGGGCTCGGGTCTGCGCAGGCATTTCCCGGCCCACAGCTCAACCCCTGCACTGGGTCTCACATCACACGCGCGCAAGCAGACGCACCCAGCCACCCTGCAGTAAACTGCGCAGAGGATTTTGTTTGCTTTAACGTCCTCTGAATATGAAACGCTGGTTGCAAAACAGGATTACTAGCGCAGAGGCTGATGGACCCAGAATCACAGAATGTTGGGGGTTGGCAGGGACCTCTGTGGGTCACCCAGCCCAACCCCCTGCCCAAGCAGGGTCACCCAGAGCAGGCTGCACAGCACCGCGTCCAGGCGGGGCTTGAATATCTCCAGAGAAGGAGACTCCACAGCCTCCCTGGGCAGCCTGGGCCAGGGCTCCGTCACCCTCAGAGGGAAGAAGTTCTTCCTCGTGTTCAGACAGAACTTCCTCTGCTACAGCACCAGAGATGCCCACAGAGCTGACTGACCTCTCCTTCAGCAGCTCCCACAGCACCAGAGATGCCCACAGAGCTGACTGACCCCTCCTTCAGCAGCTCCCACAGCACCAGGGATGCCCACAGAGCTGACCGACCCCTCCTTCAGCAGCTCTCACAGCACCAGAGATGCCCACAGAGTACCAACCCCAAACCCCTGCAACAAACCGATACCCACTGCTGCCAGACCACTGCCTAGCTGGGTGTCATGGGGGGACACGATGGGAATAATGGAAAGGCTGGGAAACCGTCACATCCCTGGGAACCAAGGGCTTCTGACCTTTCTAACAAACCCTGCTGAGAGAACTGGATGGGTTGTTTTGTACTCCTGGTTTTAATTACAGCCAAGTGTTTAAGTTATTCTCCTCCAACCACCCCCATGTCCCTCACAAGCACAAATCCAGCTTTTTATAGCACATCCGGTATGGATGTTAAACGCATTCAGGAAATGCACTTTCAGCCCCAAACATCCCTTGCCCTGGACCAGTTAGGCTGCAAGGGTTCATCCCGTGGAGATGTGGAACCAGATGTTTGGTTTTGTGACCGCTGCTTTCCTGGATTACTTCTGCCTGTTTAGAGAAGGGAAATTAAATAAACGCAGGGGAGGCTGGCTGCAGTCAGAAATGATGAGAGCTGCTTGCGAGGTGAAGAAAAGCCAGATGGAGAGGCCACTCTTGGCTACTCAAATCTCCTGCACACAGGACAAGGCTCTTATTTTTTAAATAGCTGACAACGCTCCTGTGGGCTGACAATGGCTCATGGTACAGTGGGTGTCCGCAGACAGGCCTAGGATCCCGAATCACATGTTTTTCAGTGCCTGCTAGTGCTCCTGACCCTGACTGGGGCTCTCCTGCAATGCACAAGGGAGAAATGCATCCTCCCCCCAAACTTCTAAGTAGCCACAGGGCACCAGCAAAGAACCATCAGGCTGTGTCGGTCCCCAGGTGTTGCTCTGGCATGCCCCCCCAGGCTTGTGTGGCTCTTTGCTCCAGAGGAGCAGGACTTGGACAATAGCTTGGCTCCAACTCTAAAACTTAACCCTTGTCACTTTCTGAACATAAAGGACTTGCCTCTGGCTTTAAGGAACAATGTAAGCCTGTTAGTGATTTTCTCACCTGAAAATACCCTGGCTGACTTCCCAGCTGGAAGCACCCTCCAATGGCAAGCGTGCTCACTGGCAGTCTCAGGGATCAGCCCCAGACACTGTCCCAGAGTAGAACACTCCCTGGAGCACTCGCAGACCAGAGGGCACACGCTGGCCAGGCTGCCCCAGACAGGGTCCTGCTAAAGTCTCTAGAGCGCTGGGCTGTTCCATACATTGACCAAAACACCGCTGCCGTAGTATCACTGCACAGAATCGGGATGTTCTGCAGCAGGTTACAAAAGGGAAGGCACACGAGGCTGCACTGCATCAGGGTTTGCAGCTCTGCAGGAAGGCAAGACATACAAGGTCAAGGGTATCTTTCCCCTGCCTTCCCCGCGGCCAGGCCACCTCATATTCTGGGCAAGCAACTGTCAGCAGGACATCAGCAAGCTGAATGACAACCTCATTAAGCTGCTTCCAAAATAATCACACTGGAGGAAAAGTTAAAGAAGTCCTTGAACTCGTTATTTCTTCTTTTGATTTTTATTCCATTTTTTCTCTGATGTAGATTCTTCACTGCAGATACTGGCAGTAGTAACTCAGACTGGGCTCTGGCTATTTCTCCTGAGCAATGAGAACTCCAGCACAAGCAGCCGTGCACCTTGGTAATGACTAGGCTGTGCAGGCCCACTGGCCATCCACCTCCTACCCTGGGCCAGTGAGATACAGGAGGAAACACGGATCTCAGCAGAGCAGGAAGGTGAGCAGCCTGTGGGGCTTTCCCAGTGGGCTACCAAACCTGCCTGCGCTCAGAGCAGCGGGGCGTTTGCTGGGGGAACTGGAAGGCAGGTCTGAGGACATGGGACCACCAGCAGTGTGCACAGCAAGCAGCTGCCCTAGCTTCAGCTGCCACCCATACCACTTCTGTGGCTGCCCGGGTTGAACAAAGAGTGCCAGTCTGATTCAAGGGCAAGTTTTTCCAGCACAAACCCCACACACAACACTTAGGTTACAATAAACGAGCTCTGCAGGGACAAACCCTTGTGCAGCACGAACAACAGCAACCAGACGACGCTCATCTATGCATTCATTCATCTCAGGGAACAGCAGCTGTCAAGAGTCACACACACATACTACGCTTTCAGTACCCTGATCTAACGGCAAGCTATGCAACACTTCGCTGGAAAAATGAGTGACAATCCAGCTGCAGCAACTGAAGAGCAGCCTACCTCAGGGAAAGGCAGCCTTAACTTATGCTGGGGAATTGCTCTTCAGCAGATGGGAAGGACAACGTACTTATTTGATGAGTCTTGTTTCTATGTGACCAAATCGTACGCAGCTTATGTCTTTCAAATATAAATGCAAATGACTGACTTCAACAAAAATCATTGCTGGAACACAGAAGCATCTCCTCTATTCCCGAGAAGCGGGTGATCTCCGAAGCTCATCAAGCAGCACACAGTGGCACATCAGATGCACTGGGGACCTGACCTCTTGGTCTCTTCGACAAGCGTTATGATAATCTCAGAATTAGGTGTTGGAGCTTGAACAGCAAGCAACAAATCCACATCAAAATGGTATTAGAGGAAAATCAAAGAGGCAAAAGCATCTCTCATTCAGGTGCTCCCCCAAAGCTTGTAAGAAGCCACAGCCCAGCTTATCACGGCTTTTTAAGGTCCTGAGAAGCACCTTTGAAAGGAAATGCAGGCAATCTCAGGCATGTTCCTTGGCTACCTGCAGTTTCATCAGGCTGCTCAAGACATTCAAAACAGTATTTCTTTACCATTTATGATTTATGATTGAGAAATTCAAGCCTGAACCTACGAAGTGAGTCACCGGGACTCATGGGTTGCTTCCCCCGCTTCCTGCCTCCCCAAATCATCACACCTTCCAGGCCTAGTCTTGCTCCCACTGAAATCCTGCAGAACACAAACACCCACTAGCTTAAATACCACAAAGCCTACATAGACTCGAGCACCGCCTTTCTCACTAAGGGTCCATACCCGGGCAGAGAAACCACATACTCACCCAGAGACCGTCGGGCGGGAAGCTGGAGCTGCTGACTGCAACTTCTCTTGCTGCTTCAGAAAAGATTTAGCTTCTTTTGAGGCTGAGTCCACTTCTTTAGTCACTCTGTTGGAGGAAAAAAGATAAACCAGAGGGTAAGGAAGAGCCATACTCACAACAGCAAACCCAAAAAGCTGGCAAGGAAACACAGAAAACAGGTACAGGAGACCCCATACCACCTGCAGAGACATCAATCACCTCCACAAGCCGCAAGCTGAAGAACTTGTATCTTGTTAAGATTTCAGTCCAGAGACAAACCCTCTATATTCATGGGAGAAAAAAGGAAAAGAGTAGCTAATTAGAGCTGGGGGAGGAGGGGATTTTTTTCTTCAAAACACCAGGAATGCTTATTCATTCAAACAGGCCTGTCTCACTAGCAGCTACTGAATGCTCGGCTCAGGTCACTGGGGGCAGTTCCAGGCTCTTAATTGGGCTTTTGATTTCCTCATTTGTTGGTCAGTGAGGCAGCTCTTCTGCCACAGCTGTTCCGCCACCCACGGCACAGGGGCTCAGCAACCCGAACCAGAGCACAGAAACTGGCACTGGGGATGGGGAATGGGAGAGAAAGCTTTGACAAGGTAAAACGCACAATTTTTCTCTCATTTCCTAGTTACTTTCTGTTCGCGGTCCCGAGGGTGCAAAATATTGAACTTGAAAAAATTATAAATCAATATGGCATCTACAGCAGGGAACGAATTACAAACATGAGAAAATCTCCAGAAAACCACTCGATAATTAATTGTTAGAAAACCCCAGCTACTTTAACTCTGTCATTTACCATGACCTCCAGCAACACGCTTTTCACACTCTCAGTACCTCTTAACGAGGTTCCCCCCGTCTTCTCCCTTGGAGCACAAGCCTGTGAGCATCCCTGAGGCACTGCAGCTCTGGCGCGCAGGGCCTCCCGGTCCCACAGCTGAGCCAGCCCAGCAGGCACCGTCCTCCACCTCCTCCTCTGCATCCGCTGCCAGCAAGGGCGGGCGGGCTCATCCCCAGCCTAGAGCACCGTGCTGGTGAGAGGCCAAAAGCCTCGTTGGTCAGAAGATCTGCCCTGTTTACAAGTCAGGCTAATTAACCCCTGCCTGCCTCCTACCTACCAACCTGACCCTGCAGGTTCCACGTAGAACCTGGCTGACGGACACAGAGAAACCCGAAGAGCTGCAAACCCAGCTGGGTTACTGCTGGGTTGGCAGCGAGGAAAGCACGGTGGAGTTGTATGTTAAGCCCGGAGGCACGGATACCCTGAAATCCCACTTGCACACCACCAGCGCACGCATGTCCCCGTCCTGACAGTGAGGCAGCATCTGAAGAAGTGGTCAGGGAAAGGAAACTGTTCTTCCTCCTCCTTTGCAGACTGCACATACAGTGGAAAAGACCTGTTCAGAAACAAGAATACATTCTTGCGCTGTACACCTCCTGCTCAGCCTTGTTCTGCCAGTGCAGGAGGAGATTAACCCCGTTTCCCCCCCTGCATTGTCACACGCCTTTCAAACCGTCCGCAGTCATGCGGATAGAGACAAATCCCACGTGATGAATATTTAGAAGTGTTTGCTGATCAGATTGGAAAAGGAGTGGGGTGGGCAAAGGGGAAAAGCAGTTCAGGAAGTAACAAAAGCCTTACTACAGCACCGTCACAACCTAGGGCATCCCGAACACACCACCCAGCCACAGCCCTTGGCAAGGACGGTCACGTCACGCAGCAGCCGTACGCCAAAGGTTACTCTACGTCCATGAATTTCCTTCGACAGAATAAATTCTGTCTTCATGCAGCAGTTGGCCAGAACTCCCCATACAGTATATTTTTGAAGCCACCCCAAGCCATGGGTGTTGGGTTCAGATTAATACACACACTCTATTTATTTTCAAAGGCAGTGTCCAAAGAGCCAGGCCCTTCCCACACCCGGCTGGGGAGCAGCACCCATTTCTCACGCACTCCGCAGCGCTAGCTACCAGCACTGTCCCCTTCCTCCTGTCACCCCCCTGCACTCCCGTGCCATCAGGGTCCAACCCCGGTGCGCACACAGCACGCCAGCTGCCGTGAGAACCATCAGGCAGACCCCAAGCACGCAGGGATCTCAGAGGCGTAGCACAGTAACCGCATGTCCTGGAAAAAACCCCCCTCTGCACCGGCCTCAGCACAGCCACAGGACCTGCTCCCGGGTTAGGTCCCAACTGTTAAACCCTGTGTGTTTCTGGGACTTGAAGAGCGTAGGACGGAGAGCAGACAGGGGTTGGGAAAGGAAGCAGAGGTCACAGAAAGCACACCTTGCCAGTAGCTCTGCTTATTGCGCTAAGAAATGACAGCTCAGTTCGGCTCCACAAACTTAAGGGATCTGGACACGCACGATGGGGAGCAGGTCTTCAAAGCTTGTGGCAGAACTAGGATGTCAACGCAGGGCCCCTTGGTCTTAACCTCATGAGTTCCTTCAGCCTTCTCCAACCCAGAGGCAAAAGTGACTGATGTCCATCCCACCAGTCAAGGCAAAGAAAGGCGCAAAGCTAAGATGGACGTGAAAAATGGCTCCAGGGATTTGCCAATCTGCCGTCTGACAAAACTAGCATGCTGGTGGTTGGATCAGTACTACAAGTCACAGCTCTCGGAGCAGGAAGATGGTCAATCCCAGGAAAGGTAAGGAGAAACCTCTACCTGCTGAGGCCCCTCAACACGACGCGCAGGGAGGGCCTGGCACAGCCCTTCATTGACAGTTCAGCAGCACAGAAATCACTTTGCTACCCAGGGGCACGAGACGGGTTGCTACGAAGGAATTACTTTGGCTTTGATACTCACTTCCTCTGCCACCCCAGGGTACCAGCAGCAGCGGCTAGACACAGAATAGAACACTTTGTTCAAATTTTTGCGCCCTTTGGCCTGCCAGCAGCTGCTCTAGAGTATATTTTTGAAGTTGTCCGCTGTAGCAACTGAGCCGCAAAGCTGCCGGCAACCTGTTCCACCAGGACTGCCCAGCTGGAAACAGAGGAATGCGTCAGAAGCGTAATTAAAAGGGACCTTTCAAGGCGATTCCATCACAAGACCCACTGATTGCCTCATAAACTGAAACAAAGGCAGCTCTGAGGCAGGCTGCTGCTGGGCTGATGCCAGCAGCAACTCCTGCCCCACTCCAACAGGAATGACAAAAGAAAGAATATTAAAGGGCTTTACAAGGTATTAATTCAGGTTATGCACATTTCAGCCTTTCCCAGATTCCAGGCCAGGAAGGAAAAAAATCCTCTGGTCTGCATTATTATGGGAGACAATAACTCTCCATGTGGAAACCAAAACACTTCTTGTTCTTCATGGGGAGAAATGGGAGCCATTAACCCAGCTGGAAGAAATCACAGTCATTACTAAGGAAAATTACAAGACCTTTCACTTTTAAATACTTGATAAATAACTATTTGCCTGACTGTTTACTGGGATGCTATTCACACATTGTAATCCAGGAATAAACATGAAAATAAGTATATTGTCAGCAATAAAACAAGTAGCTAGTGTCTTACCCATGTGCAGACCCTGTAATTCACACACAAAACCACTCACTCTCATCACTTTCCTGTAAGGATTTCATTATATTGCTATGCTACTAAATCGCATAATCAGACTTCCAAAACACAGAACAGTTATTAATTTTTCAGACCGTGCTGGAGCCTGGCAGCACAGATGGTGCTACTGAACAAGGTGCCATGCAACTGTAAAATAGAAAGGTCTTCCGTATTATAAACTTATTATATGGAAAACATGCTGCAAACTAGATCACTCTGTGCCTCTAATGCTTACAAGTGTCCTCCTTAGGACCGTTCATCTCTGAACCAAGCTCAAAGTGGTACCCTCAAGCATTTAAGCATACCCACACCCACCCAGCCTGCTGCTTTGGCGCCCAGCTGTGGGTACGTTACTTCCAACTTCCACTGGAGAACTTGCCACCCTTCCCTTCACATTTACTGACTGCACTGCTGCAAGCTGCATGCATGGAAGAGACCACAGTTACGTATGCCGGGCAGCAGACCGCATGAAGACAACCCACATGCTGTCATGGGCTGTCCCAGCAGTCGTTCCACAGAGCACTCACAGTACCAAGCTGTAGCATCCTAATTTAAGAACGCTGTTTGATCTGCTCCCAGCAGTCCCCTTAGCCACATAAGCCACATAAGCAGCTAAAAGGAATGAGGAATGCAGGCTAAACTGAGCAAAGCCTTCACATAGCTCCAGCTAATCTGCAAAAGGGGCTTAAAACCAAATTTTCATGCTTCGGTTCACTGGCAGAGTAAGTCTAATACACCAGCTTTCCTCCTGCATTCTGGTCTTTACACTGGGTGCAGAGTTACTGGTGGGAAGAGGAGGGTCCCAGTCCATCACTTCATCCCACTTCTGCTACCATGGCACAGCACAAGACCCACACCCCAGGACCCACCCCAGCAAAGCAGTCGGGTGCCTCTACTCTAGCACAGCTGAATTCAGTCCTGTTTGCTAGAAACAGAACTAGCAGAAGCGATGCCAGGGGCGCTGCGTGTCAGCGAAGTGCCCAGCTCAGCAGTGAACAGCAAGGTGACCTGCAAGCCCTTACAGCAGCACATCAGCAGAGCCACATGCTTGCAAGGAGGAGAAAAGGAGGCAGGGTCGGGGAACCTAAGACAACAGCCACATCAAGAAGGCTTGCAGGCTTCTGTCCGTAGTCTGCTGTGTGATAGCAACCTTATGCATCCCAAGTGCCAAAATCCCCCCGACTTCCCCCCAGGCGGCTCAACACAACTGCACTCTCCTAACCCAAACGCCTGGTGCGCATCAGGCTGAGATAGCACACATTGGTATTTGGGTACAAGGGGACTCGGAGCTCAGAACACAGCGAAGATCCCTAATCGCAGCAGCATGAAGGTAACAGCTCCCCCGACCTCCACACTGAGAAAGGGAGAGCAAGAGTGGAAGCTCTGGAAAACGCCAGCTCTTTGCCACTTGTACTCGGGACACTCAGTCCTCACTTGGGAAACCTGCCCCAGTTTAGACCCGACACAATTATAAAGCTCTCCACACAATCTTAATGTTGTTAGCTCTGGGGAATCACAGACCAAAG